TTTAAAGGATAAGTTCACCTTTTGTAACGTTACCCCCATATTCAGGGTGTAATATGATACAGATACACTGGCCTCCACTCCCCTTAATCCCCAGCTTTGACAGCTAGTGGGGGATCTTCTCCTCCCACTGGGTGTTACAATCTGAAAAAAACGCGGCCACATGGGGCTCTGCCCGCCCAGCCACGTCATTCATTCACAGTGTTCTATGAAAGTGAAAACCATAAATATCAACCAGGGCCGGACTGACCATTTGGAAACTCAAGCACTGCCCGATGGGCCCGGGGTCAGTAGGGGCCCCATGAGATGCCCCTGGTACCTTTTTCATAGGCTTTTTTGAGTTTGGGCAAGGACACAGGGGTCCCATGATCCCCTATTGCCTGGGGGCTCCATGAGTTGTCAGTCCGCCCTTGATACGAACACTCTTTGCGGCTGTCAGCTTCTGCGTAAACTACCAGGGCACTGTTAGCTCTCTAGGTAGTTCATTGATCTTCCTGTCTTTGTGTATCTGCCTGCTCGTATCGGACAGACAGTCTGCTGATCGTGTTCGCAATGTTTTACAGGCTCCTAACAAAAAAAATAAAGAATTAATATTTTTTTACCTGAATTTATAATTTTTTTTTTTTTTTTTGTGAAGATGAACTCATCCTTTAGGTTTCAGCCTGAGATAATCAGCTCTATAACCGGCAGGCTAATTTTTCCACAGGGCAGCTAACAGTAGATACAGAGATACATTTACGAAAAAGAGCAATGCACATTATAAAGAAAATATATGCAGAATAGTTTTGCATCCTATTTAAACACAAAATGTCCCATTCACTTTTCTCCTTTTGGAGAAATGTGTATATGGTGAGCAGAGGAGGTTATCAGAAGACTTTCTTTAACACAAAGTAATTCCTCTGCCCAGCTGAAAATGCTCTTACCTATAGCTAGCCAGTGCATATCTTTCCCTGACAACTATTTTTATGGTGTTGTTATCAAAAGCAACCTCTTTATTGCAGTCAATACTGTTTTTCTTCTGTTATGTATTTCAAAACTATAAGGCTGAAAATTAGATCCTGCCACTCCTGCTCCACTTGGTAGACAGCAAGGGTGTGGAAATTTTTGAAAAAACTACTTGTGCAGGGACTAAATCAGGGCCCCAATCTACTTGTCCCTCATACAGTCTACTTTTCCAGATAAAAAAAAAAAAAAATTTAAACCAAAACCGTGTTTAAATCGGAGGTGATTTTAAAAAAAACAAAAGAGGCTTTACGGCGACTTAAACATTTAATATTTATTACATTGCGCTGTTTTCTCCTCCTCCCCTCCCTGCCTCTCTCCAGCACCAGACCCAGGGGACTAGCAGGGAGGGGAGATACCTTGCAGTGTAATGAGCACCGATTGGCTGCTCCTCCAGGAAATGGGTGGTCACGGCTTATAATTTATCCCTTTCACTGCCAGAGCCATTTTTGCGTTTTTTGCACACGTTTACAAAATAATTTTAGGTCTGAAGATTACATAAAACCCCCAAACATTATAGATTTTCTGAAAGCAGAGACCCTAGAGAATAAAATAGTGGTAGTTTCAATTTCAGTAAAAAACAAGTAAGTCAATTTTAGGGCATAAAATAGTGGTAGTTCCAATTTTTTATGCTGCATGAGCTTACAGCAAAATTTCAATAAAAAATAAAAGTAATAAATTACCCTATTTTTTTGTAAAATATAAAAGATGAGGTTTCAGCGAGTAGTAGATACCCAACTTGTCAAACTTTAAATTTGTGCACGCTCCTGAAATGGCGACGAACTTCAGTACCCTACATTTTCTATAGGTCAACACTTTTAAATCTCTTTATAGGTCACCAGTTTAGCTTTATGGAGGAGGGTCTGGTGCTAGAATTATTGCTCTCATTCTGGTGTGCGTGGCGATATGTAACATATGTGAGAGGTTTTTTTTCTGCTTCTGCAAAGGGAACTGGCGTTTTTTTAAGCCCAGTGTGCATGGACCCTAAAGTGGCTTCTATCTGTGTAAAAAAAAAAAAAAAAAGCTACAGGGGCCAGGTCTGTCATCCATATCCCTTTGTCATCAAGTCACTGAACCAGATGAAAGCATCCATAAAGTGTCAGAATTACTCATATGCTCGTGCTTGCTCAATGCAATGTATTGTTGGTGTCGGTGGGAGGAGGAATAGTGCCCCATTGTTGGTGTAATTGGGAGGAATAGTGTCCCATCGTTTGTGTCAGTAGCAGGAATTATGCGGTCAGTGGGAGGAATAGTCTCTTGTATCAGAGGTAGGAAAAGTGCCCCAAGGGCCAAATAAATGCAAGCAAAGGGCTGCATCTGGCTCCCAGGCCACACTTTGGAGACCACTACTCTAAAGTACACAAATGCATAGGAGACCTCACTGGACCTTCTCTCTTCGAATGAAGGCTGCAGTGGCAGCTCTCATATTTGTATCCCAACAACAAAACCCCCACTTTGAGTGCTCATTTTTTGCTTTAATACTCTTCAGTTACAATTATATTAAAAAGGTTACACAGATATACAGTATGGAGAACTTTGAATACAGGATGTTCATGTATTTGTTTTATGAGAATCAAGATTTTTCCTTTACCTATAAAGTGTGCATGGACTCTAAAGCTACAGAGGCTTTTATCTGTAAAAAAAAAAAAAAAAAAAAAAAAAAAAAAAAAAGGCTACAGAGGCTTGGTCTATCATCCATATATCTGTGCCATTGACTCAATTAACCAGATTAGGGCATCCATAAAGTGTCAGAATTACTCAAAGTTTACTATCCTTCAAACTTTAGGGGGACTTCACAGACTGTGGCCAAAGCATTGAGAGTGGAATTTTTTGCCTTTAGCTGTAAATTTCTTATATGTGAAAAAAGAGGTACATCACAGGCACATTCATGCTAAATCTTCAGGTGAAGGGGGGAACTTTCCCCTGACTGGTTAAAAAAGGCAGGAATCTCAATTCAGGCAAAAACCCTCCCAGCTCTCAGCTAAACCTCAGTTTTGTAGCAAACAGCAATGAGAAACAGACAAGAGGCGAGGGGATCTCTGTGTCTGAGGTGATGTACTCCAAGAACTAGATTTTTACAGGGCTGTCGAACAAAAAAAGGGAACACTGTAGGGGAACTTTGTGCGGAGGCACTCACCAGTCTATTGCATACAGAGCATGAACTAAAGCCTATGAAAGGAGGTCTTCAGAGAGACATCTGTAGGCACATCATTCATATAAGGGAACTAGTTGAAAAATGAGGCTCAGCTGAGCTGGAAGGGGTTTGCCTGGATACTTATTCCTGCCTTTTTTGCTGTCTATTCACTTGAAGGAGGCAGCATAACTAAAGTAGTCATAAATATGAAGCCCTCTGTGTCCTGTGATGTACAACTAAGAAAAGGCAGGTACTATACGACTCCTCATTTAATGAAAATCTCTGAAATAACAGTGTACACAATGCTTTGCTAAGTAAACGAGAAATACTGGAATACTGGCCTCTACATGAAATGATGTTCATATGGTACTGCTACTGGCCATGCACACACCTTTACCTCTGGACTTAACAGGAATACATGTCTTCTGTGACTGACTTGTTCATGCTTTTTTTTCATAGGGAACCTTTAAGCAGATCTGGATTTCAAAACAAGACTATGAAGAAGGAGGGAAACAATGTGTAGAGATAAAATGTTCTTAATAGTTTACACAGATATTTTTTGTCTTTTTAAAAAAGGTTCTTCAGGAGCTCTCTTGTTAAGGTTACAGCTCTTAAGATTGTTCACTTATTCTGGTGACAGCTATCAAAACTAGAATGTTCCCTCACTTTAGGAAGTTTTTTTTGTGTTTTTTGGGACAGATGACCTAATTCCTCATCACTTTATTACAGTTAGAATTGGAGAATCGCTTTAAAATAGACATCTTTAAAATAAAAGTACATTTTTAATGAACAATATACATTTTAATAGTATTTCTTTATCATCAGTTGTTTTACTGATTTACCCTTTTAGAACCTGTGTAGCATATTTGTTTTTCAAAATCAATAAAAAAAAAATGACTGAAACTAGAATGTTGAAATCATTCTGAAATGGCTGCAGCTTTTGGTGTAATTACTCATTGCATTGTATGACTGTCCTAAACATCCACAGCTATGGCATTAAATATCTGGATCTTAGCGAATATTTCTAAATCCGTCAATAGTCCTGACATCCAAAGATCAGGTTGAGTTTTCAGGTTTGCTGTTGCATGTGCACCCTTAAAACATTGAATTGTACAGAAATCATATGAATTTGCATGCCTAAAGAAGAACTCCAATGCGGAAAGCCCCTAGACTAAATAAGCATTTCATTTTTACAGTGGGGATGGCCACTGCAAAGCTGTTTTTTATTCATGTCACATTCCCGAAGCTGAAACTTTAATATGCATCAAATTAAAAAAAAAAAAAAAAAAGGGGTTGGAACTTGTGCCAGAGATCAGAATGATTGGAAAGCATATCATTAGATCTATGTATACCAAGCTAAAAGGGCACATATGTTAATGTTAATAGTCCATATCTACTAAGGAAAAAAGAGCTAATGGCCTTCAGCACAGGGAAATCTTGTTAACCCTGGATAAGGTCCTGCAGGCTACTTTTATAGACCCAGTTGGTCATGGCTAGCATACAGAAGACAAACACACTCCAGTTGTTACCTGTATATCATTAGATCTGCACGCTGTATTTTGTGTTGTAACTGTACACATCGTACATATATTTCCCCCCATTTCAGTGAATGAGATTGCACACCCAGAATCTTCATGAATGTACAACCTATTCCATAAATCACCAGAACATTGTAAGAAATGTTTAATGCTGTGTAAGGTGACCTTGCATGAAAACATCTTACAACCAAGTAGATTCACTTCAGGAGAATGAACACCACGGCAAGTCTCAATTTGCTGACATCAATGGTATAACAAGTACTCTCTGTAGGTACAAACACACAATATTTTATTCTTTTTTTTTTTAACAAGAATTACAACAATTGACTTCAAGACTTTTTTGCTATATGTGGAAATCGCTTTTCTAGATCAAGTTGTTTCTTTTTAGATGCATTTTTTTTTCTTGCTATAGCTCGCAGCTCCTTTTCTAATTTCAACCTGTAAGAAACACAAAGACGAGAAACACCTTATACTACAAAAAATATGGATACACACACACTTTCATTTATTTTATTTTTTCAAGCCTATCACATCATTATTTATTCAGACCTGGATTTTTCCATTGAAAAAAATGTGAAATCCAAATGTGACCTATTTTGGTAAATGCATTGGCAGTGATTGTGACCACAAAAAAGAATGCTTCTTAGAGCCTCAATACACCTAATGTTTTGCACCTTTAGAGGCTGAAATGTTACTCAACACATGTTGCTTAGGATATGCATTTCTCTGTATTCTCTCCATGTGCTACAGTGCTCAGAACCAATGGTTACTATAGACAAAACCTTCAGAAGACAACAGTGTTTTGTGCCCAGTGTCCAATTCCAAAGCTTTGCTGCACAGCAGTGGGTAGTGAATGGGTTTTATTACTTACAGAAGTTAACAGGTTTGCAAACTTGACCATATATTTGCTTGCTGACCTTACTAAAAAATAAAAATGATGCAGAACCCAGAGACAGGGAAGCCCACTTGTTACAGCTTGTTCCCTTCCATAGTGAACAAAGAATTATGAAATAAACCCCATGACAGATTATGAAAATATGTAACAGCCCCATTTATGTTACCTGTTATAATGTTCCACATATGGCAGTGCAAAAAACTGTGATCTCCTGTGACGTTTATTTATGTACCAAGGAATTGGCCACTCCTTAAATCTGTGCCTAAAAAAATGGAGAACAAACAACAAAGATCCTTAATGAGTACCTGGGTGATTTTACATGAACACATTTGAATTCATAAAGAAAACATTATAATCAGAGAAGAAAATAGGAGGTGAACTCTCTTTTTCTGTACTAAACAGATCCTCTAAACTCTATGCAAATTTTAACTTTGAAAAATGCTGAATTCTTAGTAAAAAGCATACTTATTGATGTCCTCCAAGAGCCAAATATAGGTGTAGAAATGTGAATATTTCTTCCTGCCAGTGGCTGCTTCCTCACCTCAACTTGTCATGTCTGTTCAGCTCTGGGCTAGGAGGTTCAATGGACTATGCTTTCAGTTACAGGGACAGGGCAGCAAAGAGATGTGTATCACTGCAAGAATAGCATACAAACTGGAGGGAAGAAATCCTAATCACCACAATCCAAACAAGCCCAACAATCATGCAGGTAAAATCAGCCTCAGCCTAACGCCACAGCACAACCACTGACACGTTTCACCCTGCCCCCAGGGCTTAGACACGGAGACCACCGTAACTTCCAAGGCGGGGCCTGGATGGAGCTAGGCTGAGGCTGCTTTCACATGCATGATTGTCTGCCTTGTTTGGAGTGCGGTGATCAGGATTTCTCCTTTCTAGTTTGTATATATGGAACCAGTACAAGCTCTCCAGTCCGAGCCAGCACCCATAATGTGAGTCTACTGGACTGGGACACGGGAACTTGAGCGGCAACCCAAGTCATTCCATTTAGGTCCACTACAAGAATAGCATGTAGGTGATTATATTGAATAATTTCTACAGCTTTTTAAAAATTCATTTTTATTCAAAGCACAATTAATAAACCATAAGAAAGCCATGATCTTATTTTAGGGAGAATGAACTATTAAAAGTCTGTTTTTTCTGAATATCTGGTCATTTATTACATTATATAGGCAAGATGCATAGTGTCATTTTGGGGGAGATTCACCTCCTGTCTCTTGCCATTTAAAGAGCAGACAAACTGTCCTTGGAGTAAAATTGATAAACACTTTTTTCATGCATTATAGCTTTAACACCAACTAGCATGCACCTTCCAAAAAGTTCGGACATATTAAAAATGGATTCTATACTGATATAGAAATGAAAATATACCATGTTGTTTCCCCAAAGCAGTCCTTCCTCCATTCTCCTGGACGTGCTTTTTCCTGACCAGTCTGCAGGAGGCGAAGGGCAGTCTCTCTTTCTGTAACTACCCTGTCAAGATTCTCCATGGACTTTGTTACCTTCAGGGGAAAGTTGGAGAGGAAAAGAAAAATGGCAGCAAAACAAATATTAGTCTTAGTTTGGTATTTTAAATTTGATATGCACAAATTGTTAATGCATCTAAAAACAAATACAATGATGTGTGGTGCAATTACTATGTGGCTTTCAGTAGAAGCATGGCAAAACATTTAAATAAAGTGAAACTCCAATCAAGGCACTATATAAACCACTGAATCACAGAAGCATCGTTTTAATGTAAACAAATTGAGAAGAAACATACAGTATATTGTGATCTGCCCATAACTGCTGAGTTATGTGGCTACATAAAATGCAGGGGGTGATAGCAGTCTTCAAAGCCAGGAAATCTAAAGACTTAAAAATATGTACAGCAACACCACACTACTATGTAATTACTCAGTGTGCAAGAATACCTTAAAGCCTGACTGGGGCTGTGCCCACACTGCATGGGTTAAAGAGGTTGTTGTAAAGGATGAAGGTTTTTTACCTTCATGCATTTTATGTATGTGCTCCTCCTCCCTAATACTTACCTGGGCCCCATCTCGATCCAGCGTTATGCACATGAGCCTTGACTCTCCCGAGTCTCTTTCTCCACACTGGCGGAGACCCAGCAGCAGGAGCTATTGGCTTCCACTCTTGTCAATCACAGGCAGTAAAGAGGGAGTGGGGGCGGGTCTGAGCCATGCTCTCTTTGCCCCATAGACACACAGGTTCTGTGTGCCCCCAAAGCAAGCAGCTTGCTCTGGGGGCACTCGGCAAGGGGGAGGGGCCAGAGAACAGGATGATTTGGCCTGCTCTGTGCAAAACCATGGCACAGAGCAGGAAAGTATATTTTATTACTTTACAGGAAAAACAAAAACAAAACAATTTAACCTTTAGAACCACAATTGCCTATTTAGGTCTAGGGGACACATAATAGTAGATTTACTTACCTGATCTTCTGTTCCTCCCCATGCTCCAATGGTTCAAGGTCCTGACATCATCAAGACCTATGCAGAGTCCACAGTCCTGCATTGGATGACATAGCACCACCAGAGGAGGGGGGGATAAGGTAAGTCCCCTAAGAAAAAAAAGTAGGTAACCCTTGCATTGCGGGCACAGCCCCACTGCAAGACACAATTTTAAAGTCTCCCAGAGTTGAGCTTTAATTATGTGCTGCAAACTTTAAAGCATAGCTAAAGAAAAAAAAAAAAAAAAAAACGCAAACAGGTAGGCTCTTTATTGCAGAAGAGATATGCTACTTCTCTTCTGTATTAAAACAAATTTGCCTGACTGTTTGCAATCTTCGCATACACATGCACAGCTCAGTGTGAACTCCTGTTACAGCTTGGTGCTGAAATGAACTCCTGTGAGCATGTACAGGTGTCACGTCATTCCCTTATGGAGCAATCAAGATGCCCAGAAACAGATTTTGTCTGCAAGGAAGTTATTTGTGGAACTCCTGTACATCCCACATGGGTCAAGATGGGCCTTTCACATTGGTGTACAGATAGGTACGCTCATATGAACGAGACCTTAAACATGTGGTCATTCTGATGCTGTGAGCTCCAGTCCAGTAGGTAGGGGGAATGCATCTGCATTCCTAAGTGATACACACGGTGGATTGTTTGACTATTTTTTCATGTTTTATTTTGCTGGAGTCGAACAATTTATGGTTACATGTTATTATGTGTGCTGTTTATTATTTGTTATTTAAATCCTGAAATCTCCCTACCTTTGCTCTGTGAACTGCACGAAAGCAAACTACTTTTGTTCTACTCACCTGTAAACTAAGTGCCTCTCATTAGTTCACACTGCAGGGATTTCCACTGGCACAAACTTCACCTTTAAATTCCTACTGGCACATACTTCAACAGATGGCAGAGCACTACAAGGATATGTATGATGGAGGGTGGATGGTTAGCTGCATTAAGAAGCAGCTACACACTCTGTGGTATCGCCGCATGAAAACTGGCTGATTAGCTGTGGCCAGACGTTCAGCAAAATCGCCATCCCTGGACACACACTGTTTGTGTCAAGGGTCAGTCTGAGGCAGGGGCGGACTGACCATTTGGAAACTCGGGCACTGCCCAAGGGCCCAGGGTCAGTATGGGGGCCCCATGAGATGCCCCTGCTACCTTTTTCATAGGCTTTTTTGAGTTTGGGCAAGGACACAGGGGCCCCATGATCCGCTATTGCCCGGGGCCCCATAAGTTGTCAGTCCGCTCCTAGTCTCAGGCTCTCTTCACACATAACCACCAAGATGAGTGGTTACATATACGAAAAACGGTGGTGATGGCCATTCTGGCAGCTGCCACTGACAGTAGATGTTGTTTATACACACAGTGTGCACATGCAGCTTTGAAAACTTCCGGCAAGAATCTACTGATTCTCGCCGGCTGACATCCCTGTCCGCCTGTGTCAGCACGTGAGGATGTAGCCTAAACCCTTGCAATTAATTTTAAACCCGAATACCAGCTTTGCTTTTTTCGTAGAAAACATAATAAACCTATATGCAAAATGTAGTATCTCCTTAGCAATCTCTTCATTCCCTACCCGAACAATGCTCTTAGAAAAGCCTCTTCTTCTCTATCCGTTCAGTTAGGTTTTCCCAGCCATCAACCATTTGATTCTGCTTCCTATTGGGGGTGTGCTGACACCTTAAATCATTGGTGCTCAACTTGTGGCCCTCCAGGTGTTGCGGAACTACAAACCCCATGAGGCACTGCAAGGCTGACCGTTTCAAGCATGGCTCTCAGAGGTACAGGCATGATAGAGCTTAAACATCCATGCCTTCAGTTCATCATTTGTGGGCATGGTTTAGTGTTTTCTGCTTACTAGGTGGGCATTAGCATGGGCGGACTGTATGCAAAGCAGTCCATCCAGGAATGCCTTCTCCTTGTCACTCAAGGAGCCCTGGGGAGTTAGGAGAAAAGAATGTGGTGCAAGTGAGCTCCCTCCCACCTAGTCTGGAAACATAAGAAACAAGAGTGGGCAGTTAAGATGTCACGGGTACTAGTATTCTCTATTATTTGCCTGAATTTGAAATGCTTTTCCAAAAAAAAAAAAAAATAAATAAATAAAAAAAAAAAAACAATAAAAAAGGTTGGTCCCTGGTGCCTATTTGCTTTTGGGTTTAAAGCGGTTCTAAAGGCTCAAGGTTTTTTACCTTCATGCATTGTATATATGAAGGTAAAAAAAAACCCTAACACTTACCTGAGCCCCATCCTGATCCAGCGATGTCCTCGAGAGCCTCTGTTCTCTGGGGACTCTCACTCCTGATTGGCTGAGGCAGCAGCAGCAGCAGAGCCACTGACTCCCGCTGCCGTCAATCACAGCCAGTGAGCCAGTCAAGAGAAGGAGGGTGTGAGAGCCGAGCCATGGCTTTGTGTGAATGGAAACACAGAACCGCGGCTCAGGAGTGCATCTCTTTGGGTGCACCCATAGCAAGCTGCTTCTTGAGGGGGCACCTGACAGGAGAGAAGGGCCAGGAGCACAGGCAGGGGACCTCAGAAGAGGAGGATCCGGGCTGCTCTGTGCAAAACCATGGTCTGTGCAAGTATAACAAGTTTGTTCTTAAAAAAAACAAAAAAACAAGACTTTAGTGTCACTTTAATACTGCTGTAACAATAATTAAGCTAATTGTGAAATTAAAAGCACTTCATATCAGATTTTTCTGTGGTAATAGAGCCACAGATGTCGCTGTTAGACCCAAATTATGCCTTATTCATACCTTGTCGAGACGATCAGAACTGGGCATGGCTACTCTCTGTCGTTTGGACTCCTGTTCTAAAGTCAGCAACATGTTCTTCTCTTTCAATAGCACATACCTGAAAAGGACACAACTGTATTCAGTCTCAAGACTTTGCGTGCCTCTAATGATTATCACTAAATACTGATCACTTACCAAAGCTTGTGTAAATCTTCACTACTTTTGCCTCTCAACTGATTAACAGTCCACGAATCACCTATATTCCATTAAAAATACTGGGTTAAAAAGCCATGATTCACCTGAACTGAATTATATTGTCGTAAGCTTTGGTTCAAAAGACAATATCCAATCAGAAAAATATCCAATGCAGAACACGTTTTGTTCATGGAATTTCCTCTGATATTTAAACAATACTCTGAACTGAAGATCACCACTTTAGATTTGCTGAAGAGATCTCAGATAACATATCGAATTGTTTTGATGCAATTCTCCATGTTTCTCACTGGTAAACTCATAACACCAACTGCATAGGCAGAGTAACAAGACCTGGAGACTGAGAAATGAATAACTGCTATGTTCCTTCCTTTGCCTCATAAGTACGTCTAAAGGCAAAACCTTTTGGGAATGGTTAAATCTTGTCAAATTTTATTTTGCCAACTGTATCCCACTGGGGTGATATCCCTTTCATTTATGTCTTGTAAACACAATAGGAAATGTGAGGATATTCCCTCTGTCACTGAAACAAGTGTGCCCATTGGAAGATTTCTCCTCTATTGGTTTCTGGTGACAAATTATCATTTAGAATGTGTCCCCACTTTTTGGCATGCTTCTATTTTGTTATCCAACTGATGTGTGATTCAGTCACAATGATTCCACAAACAACAGAATAGCCATAATTTCATTCCAACCAATTTAGACTCCAATTAGATGAAATTCATTCAGCCAGGTGGCTGAGCTACACTTTTTCCATCTCCCATCGCACCCAAACAGCCTACTCAATATTATACGGCAGCCAGAGGGGGTTGTACGTTTCAACAAAAATGGCATTCAGCAGGCTGTACCACTGCCAAACCCAACCCAGTTAGGTGAAAGGGGCCATGCCGCAACTGTCCTGCACCCACGTGGCAGCACAGTAAATCCTTCTTCATTTCCTTTATATTCACATGTACATATATAGATAATTGGACATCCTCACCACCAATAGCATTAAGAATATCTTATGGCAGTCAGTATAGGTACAGAGGACTGGTGCCATGGACATATCATTACTTTCCTTCCCACGAAATGACCCATCAGCTGAGTGGTCACTTGGAGGGGGTGTGGTCACTTGGAGGGGGTGTGGTCACTTGGAGGGGGTGTGGTTTTGACCTCTCACATCAAATGCTTATTTGGTCTCTTACTACATTTGCTCCCCTATATATGGGCGTCCAACATGTCTAGTGTTTTCAGCTCTGATATCTCACAGTGCTTTAGACGACAGATAGAGCTATTTCCTGGCTGGAGAATGTCCTGCACCATCTAGCCCTTTCCTCCTCAGCCTTACTGACCCTCATCCACCCCCTTCATTCATTGGATTTGGGTTCTTTCAATAAAGGAGGCTCAGCCTCAGATTTGGGAGTGATGTAAGGCACTCTACATGCAAATGCAGCCTGTCTAGCAACACCCACTCCTCCAGGCACTATCCATCAAGACATTTTGTTATTGGCATAACCCCTCCCAAGTTCCATCTCACTGCTTGCATCAGACCTGGGGGCTCTAAATCAGTGGTCTCCAAACTGCGGCCCTTTGCTTGCCTCTATCTGACCCTCAGGGTACTATTTCTCCCACTGACACCTACAGGGAGGCACCATTTCTTTCACTGGCACCAACTATGGAGCACAATTCCTCTCACTGATACAATTAGGTACTATTCCTCCAACTAACACCAACGATGGGGCACTATTCCTCCCACTGACACCAACGATGGGACACTATTCCTCCCACTGACACCAACGATGGGACACTATTCCTCCCACTGACACCAACGATGGGACACTATTCCTCCCACTGACACCAACGATGGGACACTATTCCTCCCACTGACACCAACGATGGGACACTATTCCTCCCACTGACACCACTGATGGGACACTATTCCTCCCACTGACACCAATGATGGGGCACTATTCCTCCCACTGACACCAATGATGGGGCACTATTCCTCCCACTGACACCAATGATGGGGCACTATTCCTCCCACTGACACCAATGATGGGGCACTATTCCTCCCACTGACACCAATGATGGGGCACTATTCCTCCCACTGACACCAATGATGGGGCACTATTCCTCCCACTGACACCAATGATGGGGCACTATTCCTCCCACTGACACCAATGATGGGGCACTATTCCTCCCACTGACACCAATGATGGGGCACTATTCCTCCCACTGACACCAATGATGGGGCACTATTCCTCCCACTGACACCAATGATGGGGCTCCATTCCTCCCACTAATACCAATGATGGGGCACTATTCCTCCCACTAATACCAATGATGGGGCACTATTCCTTCCACTAATACCAATGATGGGGCACTATTCCTTCCACTAATACCAATGATGGGGCACTATTCCTTCCACTAATACCAATGATGGGGCACTATTCCTCCCACTAATACCAATGATGGGGCACTATTCCTCCAACTAATACCAATGATGGGGCACTATTCCTCCCACTGATACCAATGATGGGGCACTATTCCTCCAACTAATACCAATGATGGGGCACTATTCCTCCCACTGACACCAATGATGGGACACTATTCCTCTCACTAATACCAATGATGGGGCACTATTCCTCCCACTGACACCAATGATGGGGCACAATTCCTCCAACTAACACCAATGATGGGGCACTATTCCTCCCACTAACACCAATGATGGGGCACTATTCCTCCAACTAATACCAATGACGGGGCACTATTCCTCCCACTGATACCAATGATGGGGCACTATTCCTCCAACTAATACCAATGACGGGGCACTATTCCTCCCACTGATACCAATGATGGGGCACTATTCCTCCAACTAATACCAATGATGGGACACTATTCCTCCAACTAATACCAATGATGGGGCACTATTCCTCCCACTAATACCAATGATGGGGCACTATTCCTCCCACTGACACCAATGATGGGGCACTATTCCTCCCACTGACACCAATGATGGGGCACTATTCCTCCCACTAATACCAATGATGGGGCACTATTCCTCCCACTAATACCAATGATGGGGCACTATTCCTCCCACTAATACCAATGATGGGGCACTATTCCTCCCACTAATACCAATGATGGGGCACTATTCCTCCAACTAATGCCAATGACTAGACACAATACCTTATTCCAATCACTACAAGCACTATATTATTTTTTTTTTACTACTACTGACGCTTGGACATTTTCTACTCCCACTGGGCACCCTACCCTCCTAACGTCTGAAGGCAGTAAACTGGCCCTTTGTTTAGAAAATTTGGAGAACCCTGCTCTAGACAGAAGTGCTGTAATATCTTAAGGAAACTGTGTACAGCAACCTTCTGATCCTCCCACCGGCCATGATCTGCCTCCATTGCATACAGAAGAAAGGAGACCCAGTGATTATGGCACTAGGTCTTAAAAAAGGTTTATTTCATGAAAATGTAACGATTTTAATAAAAATGTAATTAGCATGTTAATGGGGGGGAAGGTGGGTGAGGAACCAGGAAAGGCAAAATATAAGCAGATTAAACTTCAGCGTTAATGATGTATAACTGAACGGGGAGCTGCTTAACTTACGTCTTTTATATCTGCCTAGAGTTCAGCTAAGGGTAAGCTGTTGACGTAGGCTAGATCTAGTTACCAAAGGTCTGTCTGTAATGTAATAATGCAGACGCTCTGTCATGTAGCTCTAATAACGCAACAGTGTGCAAGCATATGAAAGCAATTAATTGTTTGTAAAATCCCGGTGTTTTATATATGTAAACATGTGATGAAAAAAAAAAATCATCTGGCTAGAAACATTTTGGAACATACCAGCTACTGACCTGACTTTATTGACTTCTCTCCCCAATTATCTGGGGCATCAAAGAACTCCTCAAGGCCTCTTCGTGCTGCTGATGAGTGAAATGATGTGCACTGCTGTAGAGAGCCGATTTCTGGAGTTCTTCTACGCAGAACAGTAAGTATTACACTGAAAAACAATGAATGACAGAACTTGAATGTTGGATTGTACAAGAGAGGGAGGAGGACTGCTGTACTCCTAGGTATGCTGCATTTAGTGCTTCAGTGGTCCCTGTGGGTTCATAAGCGGCTCTTGGGCCCTTAAGAAAGCTCTAAGGCAGACCTTCAAGTAGAACTAAGGCAAAAATGTTCCTTTTCATTTTGGAGAGTGAGGAGAGGCTATACACCTGTCGGTTTTTTGCCAGCTGTGTCCCATTGGGGAGATTTCTCTTCACTTCCTGTCCCATAGCCACAACAGGAAGTGAGAGGAAATCCCAGGGTGTCACTAGAAATAGTGTCCCTATTGGAAAATTACCTCTTTATTACAGTTCTGATGACCACCCAAAATTTGGGATGGGATACGGTATCTACTAGGGTGTCCAAAATATTATTTTACTCATGTCCAGTGCTGTTGAAGGTCCCTCTTCATTAACACCTGGACAGGGAATTGTTTTGTAGAAGCCATACTACAGCTTCTATGTATGAAACAATCTATGAATGAAGCAGGTAGACCTTTCAATCATCTGTCTGTTCTCCATTCATAGGAGCTGTAGTGTAGCTTCTATACATGGAAGAGAAGGATGGAAAGGGTGGGTATAGTTGAACTCTCTGGAAGGGTGCCTGTCACAGCTACCTCAGCTCAATTAACCCCTGCAACTGAAGAAGTACAGTAGTGGGGGGTAGAGGAGGGCACTGGAGGAGAAAGATTTCAAGAAATGCAGGAGCAAGCAGCACAACGAACACATCAGGATAACAGTATATAACGACCTTGTCCAGATTTTATTTTAAAGTGTTACTAAACCCACAACAGTAAAATCAGTCTGTGTATGCAGTAAAGCATGTTTGTTATACTCACTGTGAAACCTAAGGGGTTAATCCTCCGCATTGTGTAAAAAAGGCGGTTTGATCCTGTCTTCTCTGATCCTCCCCTTCTTCCACAGTCTTAAATCCATCTTACTTATATTTTCTTTAATTTAAATCTTTTATGAAATGTTTCATTACAAAAAAACCCCAAAAACTCAACAGTGTATCATAATCATCCAAAAAAAAAAAAAAAAAAATTTCACCTACATTTTCCTCCCCCCTCTCCCACCCACCCTTCAACTTGCCCCAGTCCATATAACTCTGCCCATTTCTTTCCATCATTCCAGTCCATATCTATATCCCTTCTCTTTAATCATCTCTTTCTACACTTTCTCTTCTTTCCATTCTTTCTCTCTCCAACCTATCTTTTCCCACTCCATTCAATTCTCTTACCTCAGATCACCTGGGACTCCAACTACTTCCATATATTTTTCAGATGTCTTGAAGTCATACCATCTACCCCATTACTCTCTAAATTGTTCCATTTTATCTTCATCTATATGGTGTAACTTCTCCATCTTATTTATATATTCAACCCTGTCTATCCAGTCCCTCATTGTTGGAGGCTCTGGTACCTACCAGAATTTGGGAATAAGTCCCTTAGCCGCACTAATCAAGTGGTATAATACACTATTTTTATACTGTTTCATTGATAACTCTGACCTATAAAATAAACACACCCATGGATCTTTCTGTATAGTAATCGCCAATATCTCTTGTATAAATTGGATTATGTCTTGCCAAAATCCCTGTATTTTTGGACAATCCCACCATTTATGTGCCATTGTTTCCCTTAGATCCACATCCCCTCCAGCATAGCGGTGAGACTTCTGCTCGCTGTCAATGTGCAACACTCGGTGTCAAATACCATCTCGTTAAACATTTATAATTCATTTCAACTGTGTTCATGTTCATCAACCCATGTGTTAATGTAAACATTTTATTTTTCTGTTCACTCATTTTTGTTCCCAGCTCCCTTTCCCATTTCTCTAATAATAACGGAGGATCCGCCCCCTTCAATTCAATAAGAATCTTATATATCCTAGAAGTGACATGTTTTGGAGCTGTACTAGCACCCAACAGGTATTCAAATGGGAGCATGTCCTCCGCATCCTCAGTGGTTGAAGCAAATTTGAAACAAAATGTCTTAATTGGTGGTATCTTAATTCATCTAATCGACAAATAACTCTTTTTTACACTTTAAATCTTGCAAAATACACAACTTCCCCTTAACTACTATATCCCTTAACCATGCATCTACATCTTTTAACCATTTCCCCAAAATATTGTCTTTCCCTGGTGGGAAGAACTCATTGCCCACCAGGGGAATCAATAGTGAATTATACTTCCAGCCCATTTGCTTGTGCATTCCATCCCATATTTTTAACACCTCCTGTGTCAATGTGCTACTAATCACATCTATAATACGGAACTTTCATGGTATCCAAATAACCTTCACTAATAGTGCATTACTTAAAAAGACCTATTTTAACCCAACTTTTCCCCTGTGAGTTATATGTCCAATCTACAACTCGAGACAGTATCGCATTAATATAGTAATTCCTAATATTGGGCAGATTTAGTCCTCCTTTCTCTTTATTATTACACAAAAATGAATATCTAATTCGCTTTGCTTTTTTATTATCCCAAAAAAGGATCCTGGAATATGGACTGGAAGCATATGGAATTTATACAAGATTTTTGGGACTATCACCATCTTAACCAAATTTATATGCCCAATCGAAGAGACTCTACCCCTTGACAGTCTTCTCAACTCATCCTTTATTTCATTTATCAATGGAATATAAATTACCTGATATATGTTCATTATAGAAGGGGTTAGCTTTATTCCTAGGTAACCTAGTTACTTCTCCCTCCATGTGAATGGGAAATCTTTTTGTAAGATCCGCATCTCTTTCTTTGGAAAATGAATATCAAGATCTCTGATTTTGAGGGGTTTATTTTCAGGTTTGAAAGCTCTCCATATCGTTTTAATAATTCCATTAAGTTGGGTAACGTTAATCTAGGGTTCACAATATAAAACAGCATGTCATCTTCATATGCCGCTACCTTATGATCTCTCTCTCCTATCTTAAAAAAGAGGTTCCAGGGATATAACAAATAACAACGGGGATAATGGACATCCCTGTCTAGTGCCGTTATATATCTTAAAAAACCCTGAAAGGGACCCATTTACTTTAAGTGCTGCTGACGGACCATTATAAAGCTCTTTTATCCACTTTAACATCTTAGTCCCTATTCCTAAAACCTCTAGAATATTTATCATGAACCCCCCAGTCTACCTTTTCAAAGGCTTTTTCGGCATCAATCGACAGTATCATTGTCGGTAACTTTTTTCTCTTTGCTTTTTGAAGAAGGAGCAGTGTTCTTAAACCATTATCCCTCCCTTCCCTACCTGGGACAAAACCCACTTGATCTAAATGTATCCATTCCAGCATCAGCTCTTTTAACCTAGTAGCTAGCACTTTCGCAAATAATTTTGTGCCTGTATTTAATAATGATATAGGTCTGTAACTAGCGCATTGTGAGCTGTCCTTTCCTTCTTTTAGAATAATTGTTATATACATTTATAGCGATTCTTCTCTTATTCCCATTCCCTCTCCTAAGGCATTCATATATGTACAGAGTTTCAGGACCAATAATTATTTAAAATATTTTATAATACCCAACCGTAAACACATCGGCTCTCCTCCTGTTGTATTTTTCAGGGCCATATTAATTTCATCCTGGGAGATTAGTTGTTCTAGAGATGCTAATTTTTCTACTGATATTTTTGGCAGGTCTGCTGCCTTTAAATATTCCTGCACTTTCCCCCTCTTTTCTTCCTCTGTGACTTTCTGATTCTTAGAACTCACATCATATAGCCTGCTATAATATTTTTGGAACATTTTATGCTCGATCTTTATATAGTCCAACCATGAATACGATCTATACGCTAGGAAGAAGAAGGTATAATCTCTTTCTCTGGGATGTTTCACCCTCCATGTATCTATTAGCTGACTTTGATGTAACATCTTTTTCAACATTCTTAGTTTTTTTTTTACCTCCTCCTCTCTGCGCATTCGAGGACGCATCTATCAATGGATCAAGACAAAAATTAAAGTCTCCTGCCAACACCAGCCTACTCCTCTTAAAGTCCATGATTTTTCCCAACACTCCATGTGGAAATACGTCTGGGGCAATAAATATTAACCAATGTATATTTTTGTCCCCACATTTTCCCTCTTAAACATAGGAACCGGCCCTCTGGATCCACCAGTTTCTCCTTCAAAACACATGTTTTTTGAGAACCCAATGGCTACTCCTTTAGCCCTCTTTATTGGTGAGTCTGCGTAATACCAAGTTGGATAGTGCCTCGAATATACTTTAACATTAGTATCATATGATAAATGTGTCTCTTGTAAAAACACTACATCTGTGGAAAGTTGAACTTCCCCAAGTATCTTATGTCTTTTAGTAGGAGAATTTAAACCTTTCACATTATATGTCGTAAGATTAAACAGGCTCATAGATATCTAATATTTCTCTTCACTTTATGTTCAGAGGAAGAGAGATATAGACTACTCAACTCATGGACCTTCTCCCTAACCCACCCCTCCCATATCCCCTCCACCACACCACTCCCCCATCCTCCACCCCCCCACTGATGATTCCTAATTTGGGGTAAAGCTCTGGACATGCATGCCTACTCCTACCCCCCCCCGACTCTCAGCATAGAGTTTAAGAGTTTAACATCCTATTTAGCCTCCTGACACTCCGCCATCTCTACTTATCTTCCTTGAAGACTTACTAAGGGCACAGGGGAGGTGGGGGGAAGGAGGGGGGGGGAGTGAGAGAAGAAAAAAAAAAAGAAAAAGGGGGGGCAATTCCTCCCCCAAGGCCCCCAATCTCTCTCCCACCATCCTCCCCCCACCCCAATTCAATCTATCCCCTCTTTTTATTCACTGACTGCCACTTCTCTTTTTTCTACCTTACACTTTCATTAGACCCCTCTGACCACCCCACAATGTCCACATTCTGCAGTTCTAATTTTTCACAAAAGTCACCAAGTTCTTCTGGGAATCTTAGCCTAGCTGATTTCCCATC